GCCTGGTAGGTTATAGTCCATGGGGTCCTAAAGAATTGGACACGACTGAGTGACTAACACACTGGGAGTTGCGAAGGGGAGAAAATTGGGAGAACTTCAAAAGTTTATTACGTATTGTTTTTATCTCTATTGTCAGTAAGATACCTCTACCTTCAATTCAGGCACAGCTACTTTTTCTTTCCCCCCACCATTTCCAAAGAATAAGCCCGTTAGTCATCTGCTAGTTGCTTCTTAAGACCGATTTGTTAATCCCTTCTTTGGACTGTTAGCTGGTGTTCACCCTTACTCCTGGAAGTGTCTTGTTCAGCAGTTTAAGCAAGTTGTTCATTTTAAACAGTGTATTTTGGAGTTGCCTACTTGCAGCTGAGAATGAAATTTTCTCAGGTCTGTCAAATTATTCACCAGTTGCTGGTCTGCTTCTCAGCTTTTGAAATTTTGTTATGTTTTCTTTGATTCTCTTTTTCTGTAAGGGTGGCGCCTTTAGAAAGACTTTAAAAAAATCAATACTTACTCTTTATTGTGTCTCTGTTGTGTTGTCCTTGTTAATTCGCTAAGTCATGTCTGACCTTTGCAATCCCATGGACTGCAGCACGCCAGGCTTCCCTGTCCTTCACCATCTCCCAGAATTTGCTCAAATTCAAGTCCATTGAGTCGGTGATGCCATCCAACCATCTTATCCTCTGTCGTCCCCTTCTCCTCCTGCCCTCAATCTTGCCCAGCATCAGGGTCTTTTCAAATGAGTCAGCTCTTCGCATCAGGTGGCCAAAGTATTGGAGTTTCAGCTTCAGCATCAGTCCTTCCAGTGAACACCCAGGACTGATCTCCTTTAGGATGGACTGTCTCCATAGTGGCTGCCAATTTTATATGTAGTATTTCAATGTCAGAATTGGTGACACATATTTAGAGGTTGATCAGAAATGTTCTTTTCTTAAGTTGAAGCATGAGATTATGGGTAAAGGTGTTGTTATTCTTCATGCCTTACACATTTTATAATTATTCCTTTATATCTATGCAATATTTAATAATAAACATAAAATTGGAATTTAGAGGTTATTCTTTTCAATAATGAAAACCTGGAGAGAACTATGGGCCTTGAGTTTCTGAGAACTTGGAAGCCACAGTTAAGCATTACGTTTTGTTTCCATTGACCACACACAAAAGTGAACAGTTCCATGGTATTTACCATGATACTAGAGTTATTTCAAATTTATTTTGTTGAATTTGTGTCTGTTTCCTAAAATGTTGAGATTTGCTATGAAGTTGACAGTTTTACTATAATTCAAGGACCCCAACATTTAAAACTAATTTCACAAGTAAATAAATAGCAGTGTAACTTAAAAACATATGTGGAACCTTGATTTTCTGAGAAGTTATCAATGTATGTAAAATAAGGTGAAGTTTTCCTGTGATCATTGAATACTCGGATATTTTTTGGCTGAACATAAATATTATTCTCAGCTGGACTTTGGAAATATTGCTTAGACTTTTTTTTACATATGAGGCTAAATACACACAGGTGTTACAGACAAAAATTAAAGCATGCAGAAAGTGTGTGTCACATGGGACTTACTAGTCTGAGTACACCAAGATGAATTGCTTTGTTAGAGAACAGGGTGCTTAGGCACTGAAACAGAAGCTAAAATTTAATTGGGAAACAGGTTGTGGAAAGTAGGCTGAGGCAGGAAGCCAGGATGGGAGCACCTGGGCTGTGAAAATGAAAAAGGAAAGTGGGGAAGACTCTGAGGTTAAATCAGCTGCTTCGCAGTCAAGCCCAAGATGCGGTCTTTAGTTGGAATATTTTTATTCCTCTTGCTACTCTCCTTCCTTCTCTCTTTCCTTGTACAGATGATTATTTTACCCTTTAGGTATCAGGTCTAACACTTTCTCATTAGAAAAGCTCTTACTTTAAGTAGTCACCATCTCCACCAAATAACTCTCAGAACCTGTTTGTTTCTATGGAAGCACTTCCCACTACTTTTAGTCATTTACTTGTTTGCTTGCATCGTGATTGCCTGTCTTCCTTCCCCATTGCCCACTTCCATTTCATTTCCAGTCTCAACTCCATGAAGAGCTCATCCATCTACTAGAGTGTCTGATACACAGTAGGTACTCACTGGAGGTCTGGTTCCTCTTGATGCTTTCAGGTCGCCGTACAGGTCCATCATCTCTGACACAGGAGACTCAGACCAACTCTAGGACGTTTTTATACAGGAAGGTCTGTAGACCCTTTGATCTCTCGTCTCACTACTCCCTGTCCCATTCAGGCTCTTTTAAAAATTCAACCTAAGACATTTTTTTTTTTTTTAGGGAGTGTACATATTTACTGTTAAAGAGCTTTCATAAGTCACTGGAATTGTGCTTCATAGTTACAAAAAGAATTCTCTCTTTCCCTAGTGATGATATAATGACTAGAAGACAAGGAACTTTCTGTCTCTGTAGAGTTTTGTCAAAGCATAGAGCACTCCCATCCTACCACTGTAGTCTTGTTTAGCCTGGAGCAGTTTGCTGACTTCTTTCAGTGTTAGCTGTGTCCCCTGGGGATTTAGTCCATTCATTTTATAAGGGTGTATGTTTATTATCCAGAAAACAGTCACTAGGTGCAGATGAGTATAGAATTTTGTGTAGGGGCTTACTCTCAAGATCATTCTTTCTGGAGTTATTTCTCCCTCTTCTCCAGTAGCATATCTGGCACCTGTCGACCCGGGGAGTTCATCTTTCAGTGTCGTATCTTTTTGCCTTTTCATACTGTTCATGGGGTTCTCAAGGCAATAATACTGAAGTGGTTTGCCATCCCCTTCTCCAGTAGACCGTGTTTTGTCAGAACTCTCCACCATGACCCGCCCATCTTGGGCGGCCCTACACAGCATGGCTCATAGATTCATTGAGTTAGATGAGGCTGTGATCCATGTGATCAGTTTGATTAGTTTTCAGTGATTGTGGTTTTCATTCTGTCTGCCCTCTGATGGATAAGAATAAGAGGCTTATGGAAGCTTCCTGATGGGAAATCCCTTACGGTTTTATTCCAGCATGTTCTGTGTGGTCAATCAGATGCCCGGACCAGCTGTAGCCTGATGGAGGTTCCATGAGGGGCTAAAGGTGGAGCCACTGATCAGTTCAGGCCCAGAAGCCACTCCTACTTTGCTTAGTCTTTCCCAGTGTTGACTTCTGCCTGAGTGCCTGACCCGCATCCGTGCCTCCCACGTCCCAGTGGTCGGAGGACTAGGCGTAGCTTCCTGTTTTGCTTCATTTCCATCTCATCACACTTGATTGGAGCATCCAGGAGTCTCATCTCAGGACACACAGGCCTCTGCATCCCTGATGCTTGTTTTCAGACCTGGCGCGAGTCTGCAGTCTTAAATCACACCACTGGATCTTCTTAACTGCTCGTGTGGGCATTTTTCCTACTTTTGTTCTCCTATTTAACTTGGAATTATCTGGCTCTTTTCCAGGTTTTATCTACTTCTGTCATATTTTATCAGTTTCTATTGTAGAAGCAGTTTCTATGGGCATCAACTGTGCAGATTTTTTTCATTAAAGTGTAGTTGATTTACAGTGTTGTGTTAGCTTCAAGGATATAGCAGAATAATTCAGTTGTACATATTTATTTTTCTTTTCAGATTTTTTTCCATTACAGGTAATTTTAAGATAGTGAATGTAGCTCCTTGTATTATACAGTAGGCCCTTGTTGTTTACCTGTTTTATATACAGTCATATATATATGTTAATCCCAAACTCCTGATATACCCACCACTGAACTACCACCTTTGGTAATCATAAGTTTTTTTTCTTTGTCAATCTATTTTTGTTTTGCTAAGAAGTTCATGTGATGTGCCTCAGTTTTTTAGATTCCACATATAAATGATACCCTATGGCATTTGTCTTTCTCTGTGTGACTTACTGTACTTAGTATGACAGTCTCTAGGTCCAAACGTCTTGCTGCAAATGGCATTACTTCATTCCTTTTTATGGCTGAATAGTATTTCATTTGTATATGTACCCCGTCTTCTTTACCATTCATCTGCCAATGGACATTTAGGTTGCTTCCATGTCCTGGCTGTTGTAAATCAAGCTGCTGTCAATTCGGATGCATGTATCCTTTCAAATTAAAAGTTTCCTCTGGGTAGATGCCCAGAATCTAGAATTGCAGGATCCTATGGTAACTCCATCTTTAGCTCATACAGCTTAATATTGAAAAAACAGCCCAATCAAAAATGAGCTGAAGACCTAAACAGATAGTTCTCCAAGGAAGACATACAGATGGTCAACAGGCACATGAAAAGAAGCTCAATATCACTAATTATTATAGAAATGCAAATCAGAACAGTCAAAATGGCCATCAGTAAGTCTACCAATAGCAAATGCTGAAGATGTTGGAGAATGGGAGCCCGCCTACACCACTGGTGGGAGTGCAAATTGCTGAAGTCGTTATGGAGAACAGTGTGAAAGTTTCCTACAGTACTGTGCTAATTCTTGTGCTGATCTGAGAGCCAGTATCTCGTGGAGATGTCTTTGCATTGTCATTGTGCACTGGCTTTGGAGTTTTTCCAGAAGCTTCTTTGATTCTAAATGCTACCTGAGCAGCCCTACTGCCATTTCACTTCATGCTGTAGGCAGGTACTACCTCCCTGAAAAACTTTTTTGTTGAAGAAAAAGAAAATTAACCAACATAGAAGATGCACATGTAGGCTCTTGTATCTTGCCAAAGCATCATCTGTTTTCCCTGAAATGGAAAGTAGTGACAAGATCGTTCCCTAGACTTCTGTGCGTCTATCTCAAGGACAGTTATTCCATTTTTAAATACAGCTTATCATTAACTTTATTGTACTTGTGTGAAAATGATGCAATGTGGAAGTAGTTAGTAACTGTGATTTTTTTTCTTCTTCTTTAGCAAGAGCTTTCTTTCCAGAGAAACCATTTGGAAAAGAAGAAAAAAAAATTTTTTTAATTGAGGGACTTATGGTTGATTAAGTTACTTATGGAATTCTTTCTTTTCCTAAAAGTCATCCCAAATCTTTGGAATGTTGATGGAGAAGTTACAGTCCCTGAGCAGAAGCCCGGAGAAGTCGCCGAGGAACTTGCAAGCTCCTATGAAAGAAAGCTCATCGAGGTAAGGCTGATGGTGTCGATGTGCATCCCCGATGTTGGCTGCTTAGAGGGCTTTTTAGACAGGGGCCCAGCATGTTAGACAGATGTTAGAAAAACAACCAGTGGACCCTTCCCCACCACCTCCCCCACCAACAAACAACATAGAATGGTTGTAATTGATACAGAAACCTAAGACGTGGTTCTTTGCAAGATATCATTGATGAGAAACCTGTGGTAAGAGAGAAAACATATATCATGTGAAGAATAATAAAACAGTTGGATTTGGAGAATATTTATAACAGAGAATATCATATACAACTTTGTGCTGAGAAATGGGATAATATGGATGCAGTGGACTGCTAGAATCACATGATACAGTTAGTTTCTGGGCTGTCTCTGGCCAGTCTCTCTGACTCTGGGACCTTCCTAGTGGTGTGTGTATTACTTAGCCAAGAAGGATTCCAGTGGGACACATTCTGGAAGGTTGGTGGGACTTGTGGGCTGGTGTCTCCTCTTTCCTTTTGACCTTTCCCGAATTCTTCCGGATGGTGGTAGCTTGTTAGTTCCGTGTTCCTTCCCAGGACCTCCTGCTTAAGATAACTCATGCAGGTGAATTACTATGGGGCCTGGCCAGGGTGGGTGGTTTCGGTCAGTGGTTCCCCTAACACCTGGCGGGTCTCTGCCACCACCACGCCCATCCGTGGACCCCCCATTCTGTGGGGTCATGAGACTAGAGTTGGCTGGTGGAGGAAAGCCCAGGTGGAGAGAGGAGCAAGACCCTTACCCTCAGGAACTGGCGGACTCTGAGTCTCTGGGTGGCAGAGGCTGTCTTCCATCTCTGTATTCTCACTGACCGTTTGTTGCCAAATTAGCTAAACAGTCCTTGAAAGAAAGTATTTGCCATTCTCCTGGGACAGGGACGTCTCTGGTTGCTGAGTGAATGAAGGGCCACTGAGCTATGAAGGGTGAAGGGTTCTGGCCGGAGGGAAAGGGGTCGGGAGCTTCTGTCCCTTCAGGGAAGCCAGGACAAGTTGTCCACTTGTGAGGATGTCGTCAGACCCGCCAAGCATAGAGGCCAGCGCTCTTGTCCCTGGATTCCTTTGGACTCTGGGCCTGGGGCGGCGATCAGAAGCTTGAGCTTGAAAAAGGGGGTCAGGAGGAAGTAACTGCCTGACTGACTGAGGAAGCACCACGGTCCATTCATGGGCTGACTGCTCAGTTGGTTGGCTGGTTGATTAGGTGTTCATTGGGTGCCCTGTCCCCACCCGCTGTGACTGTGAGAGGGTCTCACCACCTCACTGTGTTCCAGCACTGACGGGTGGGAAAGATCTAGGTATCTGATGTGAAGTTGGTGTCCCAGCCCCTGACATCGTTGCTCTTGTTGCCTGCGAGAGAGCTCGGTGTTGAACTCCTCCATCAGAGGGAGTGGCAGCCGGGGTAGGAGGTTTACCGTGCCAGCCTCAAACCTTCTCCCTGCCTTTGTTACCCTTGGCAGAAGAGGAGTCGGTGAGCTCAGTGAGAGGTGGAGTTGGACTGGAGATGGTCCTCCCGTGGCATTCACTACCCTGCGCTGATTTCTCATTGTTTTTGTTTGCCAAGTGAGGTCCTGTCACCCATCTTGCATTTGTGAATAGCCTTCGAGCTGCGTTTTATCACTTTTACCAAACCCTCTCTGTTGGCCCATTCTTCGTGATGCTTGTCTGTCATTTTATTAATGGGTCGGTTTTTACCTAGAAGGAGTTGTAAACACACGTTGGAGTGGAGTAATGAAAGGATGCGGGGGAAGAGTCCACGTGCTGCTCTTTGCATTTCCAAAGGGCAAAAGAAGTAAAAACATTTCGTTTGAAGTAATGTGACTATTTAAAACACCCCAACAATTGAATGACTCTCCTCTGATTCATCCCAATGAAATGGGAGTTCCCGAACCTTCTTTCTCTAAGTGTCTTTCAAAGCATGAAAACCATTCCGCCCACCTGCACACAGTTGGACCAAAAGCACAGAACCCGGAGCAACAGGATACATAGTGGCTGGTGAGACTCAGGGGCCCCGGGCTGGAGGAGTGTGCAAGGATGGTTCCTGACCCCTGTGATGGTCAGCTTTTGAAAACAGGATGGAAGAGAGTCCTGGCAGGTGTAGGTTAATCTGGCAGGGAAGAATACTAATATCAAACGTCACGTAAGAGCCACGGTGATCCTGGCCGCCCGCTGGCAGCATGCACTTTGATTTCTCCTGGCTGTGCTGTGACGTCACGTCTGTGAACCCTCGCGGTCCTCAGCCGAGTTCCTTGAGGAAGCTGCTGTCCACTCGTGAGATTTTGAGACGTGAGGTAGCTTATCTGGAGTTCCTCCACTGATAAGAAGCAGGGCTGAGTTCAAGTCCCTCAGGCTGTCTAGCCCCAGGGCCCAGACCCATCTTCTTGCTGTGCACTGGAAGGCCGGGCTCCCTGAGGAAGAGTTTTTGAAGAGAAAGGCTAGGCAGTGGTCCCAGAGAGCCAGGCATGGAGGGAGATGAGGGGGGTCCCCAGCGGTAGCTGACAGATGTGTGGCCCATCAGCGATTTTGAACCTGCTGGAGGGGGCCTCGCTCACACCCTCTCTTACCACATGAGGAAGAAACTCGTTCTATCTGCTCTGGTACCAATCTGCTTCTGAAGCGACTTGTGGGAGAATGCCAGGCTGGGAGCTCCTCTGGCGACCTGTGGCTGTTGACTTTTTCAGGGTATGTTCATTGCCCAGTTCGGCTCCAGCGCACAGTAGGAGCTTTATAAGTATTGAATGGAACGACAGCCAGTCAAGTGGGTTTAGCTACTCAGGGTCATGTTCAAAGAGTGACGGATGGACTGCGCTCGCCGCTCAGGGTGAGGGGGGAATTGTACAGGGCATGCCTTCCACTCAGAGCATCCTGGTGGAGGGGATTCCGTATCTAGTAAGAGGAATCAGGGCTCTTTGGAGGAGGTGCACGTTTTTCTGGCTGTCAGTTTTAGGGGGAGTTTTAGCTTGGAGAGTCTGGAGGGGACTTTGAGTGACAGATGGGCGGTACCCACTCATCCAGCACATATTTACTGAGTGTCCAGCCTTCAGCTTCCTGTTCTCCACCTTCAGCGGCTTCCCTTCCCCCAGGAGCAGTAGAATTGATGACTCTAGAAAGTGAGCCAACAGAGATGTGAGTCTGAAGCAGAGATGTTCCTCAAATGGCTTCTTCTTCCCTAGACTGAGTTTTTCTCCATTTTTGATTGCAAAGTTATTGATGTTTCATCCATGGGTAGCATCTGAATAGCCAAGGCTCCTCGGTGTAGGTTACACAGATGAACAAGACACAGTACCTGCCTCTGGGGAAGCTCCTGTTCTGGGTGGGGGGTGAGGAAGACATGTCCATTGTGATCATTAAGAATCAGGTTTGAAGGGCCAGAGGTGCAGGCATAGAGTGGCACCTGCCTCATGGGCTCCTTGAACTTTGTCTTCAGCAGTTTTGCAGTTTGGATGTCTAATTGGAGCTTCTCAAATGTTCTTCCCCTTTTCTTTGTGACTGCCAGTGACGATGCTCAGAAATTTCTTTTGTCCGCTTCCCATCCCTCCTGAAGATCTCGGCATCAGAGGGAATGGATTTGTTCTCACCAAGGGCATTGAGGATAAAAGATACTGGACATGTCCAAGACAGATCTGCTTTAAGACTCTTCTTTAACCCTTTCAAATACAGTTCTCTTGATTTGGACTCATTTCCCACTTTTTTCCTAGCAGTTGCCATCAGGAAAAATGGAGAATATTGGTGGCATTCAGATTTTGGACCCACATCGCCTCCTGTAGCCTGGTGGCTTGGAGAGCACAGGTATCCTGCATCAGACTGAGTTCAGCTTGGCCCCCTCACCACCATGTACCCCTGAGCAGGTCACCTGACCTCTCTGAACCTCAGTGTTGCTGTCAGTAAACTTGGGTGGGTAATACCTCCTGGTAGGGTTGCTTTGAGGATTAAATGTGAAGAATCTGCTTCAGTGCCTGGAGTGGGCAGGAGGTTCCCTTGTGCTTGCTTTCTCCCTTCTGTGCCGATGTTCTTTGGAGGAATGGTGGCCCCACCATGTCTTGCCATCCCAGTTGGGGGGTAAACCCTGCCCTCCTTAGGCCCGGGGGCAGGCCTGTGAGCTGAGCCATGGCAGTTGGGGCTTTAGCTCCCGAATTGACCAAGAATGGCAAGAATGCTTGAGAGGCCATTTATTCAACAGCCAAGTCCTGACGACTCTCTGTTCCTGTGTGAACTGGCCAGAGCTATTCTGGCTTCATTTCCTTCTCTGGGCCAAGTTCTCCCAACTTCCTGACTGTTGACAGTAATTCCTTTGTAGCTCAGGTTAGAATCTGTCTCTGTTACTTACGTCCAAAGTACCTTAGCTCAGGGGTCCCCGACCTCTGAGGTCTCATGCCTGATGATCTGAGGTGGAGTGGATGTAGCAATAATAGAAATAAAGTGCACAGTAAATGTAATGCACTTGAATCATCCCCAAACCATCGTCACCCCCCAATCCCCGGTCTATAGAAAAATTATCTTCCATGAAAGCGGTCTCTGGTGCCAGAAAGGTTGGGGACCGCTGCCTTAGTTGATATGAAGCTTCATAAGTGTCTGTGATGCGCAGATGCCTTTCCCTTTCCTGTCTGTCTGTCCAGGCTCCTTTGTTCTGCCTTCTCCACGCTGTCTTAAGTCTTGCTCACAGCCCTCGCTTCCCCGCTGTCTGCCTGCCTGTGTGCTGTGTACGATGCTGCCAGTCCGTCCTCAGCAAACAGATCTTTACTTCCTCCTGTGTGGAAGGACTCAGCTAGCTGTTGATTGATTTTTCAAATTATAGGATACTTATCATTTACTGTGTGAATGTAGTTAGTCCCTGAATTTTTGCTCATGGGTGAAATAAATGTGTATTAGTGGCATTTGTTCTCATTATAAAGGCAGAGTTACTATTAATGGAGAAGTAAGCTTAAGCATCAAGCTGGTAAAAAATACATTCATAATCACATGCTGTGGAGAACTGTGAATGTAATCA